TCCGTTTTTCCGGCTAATGAAAAGAAAATAGGATTCCACCAAGTCTTCTACCTACCTACTCCAGGACTTCTGTGAGGATCAAATGAGATGAGGCATGTGAAAACACTTCAGACATTTGTTTAAAATGTAAAATGTTTCCACCTGGCTATAAAGCAAGTTGGGCTAAAGAAACTCCAAGGAAGCTAGTCGCTAGGGAGAGGAAGTGGGTGTTGCTACATGATGTCATTACCCAGATGGACACTTAGCATATTAACCTTTTATATATAAAGATAATGCTGATAACATAAAATAATGGGAAAATTTCGAAAATTGGCTATTTGGTTTCATGCATTAGGGAGTTAGTTGTTAATTCTCTTAAGATGATAATGGTATCATGGGTATGTGTTTAAATTAATGTTTGGAGATGCATACAGAAATATCTATAAACTAAATGAAACAATGTCTGGGAAATTCTTTTTTTAAAATATATTTTATTGATTTTTTACAGAGAGGAAGGGAGAGGATAGTTAGAAACATCGATGAGAGAGAAACATCGCTCAGCTGCCTCCTGCACACCCCCTACTGGGGATGTGCCCGCAACCAAGGTACATGCCCTTGACTGGAATCGAACCTGGGACCCTTCAGTCTGCAGGCTGACGCTCTATCCACTGAGCCAAACCGGTCAGGGCTGGGAAATTCTTGTGTGTGTGTGTGTGTGTGTGTGTTAATCCTTACCTGGGGATTTTTTTTTCCATTGATTTTTAGAAATTGAATCATCCATGTGAGACCCATCGATTAGTTGCCTCCCACATGTGCCCTCATGGGGGCCGAGGATCAGGCCTGCACCCAAGGTACGTGCCCTTGACTGGAATCAAACCCCCCACCCTTCAGTCTGTGGGCTGATGCTCTAATCACTGAGAAAAACCAGCAGGGCTTTAAAATACTTGGAGATATATAAATTATACCTCGATTAAAATAGTAACTAGGAACTTGAGGGAAGTGTGTAGGGGTGTAGATGAAGCAATATTGGTCATGCATTGATGATTGATAAGCTGGATGAATGGTAAATGAGGTTCATTAAACTATGCTCTTTTCTTTAGTTAATGTTTGAGAATGACCATAATAGACAAAACAGAGCTCTAGAGTACAGTGAAATTATTATACTTATTAGATGTGTCCCAAAGTACTAGGTACATAGTTTTAGATGAATACTTACAAATTAAAATATTATCAAGATTTCTCAGTTATTGAGGATAACTCGTGATTTACCAAAAACACTTCATTATTCCACTAAAGTTATTAATTAAAACAAAAATGGCTCTGTGTGCTCTGTTCCTCCAGAGGGTAGGCTCTCTTTGCCTGTCCCTCCGGAGGGCAGGCACCACACCCAGCCCAAGCTTTTAATCTATTTTATGTCTGTCTTTCATTATTTCTTCAATCCCGAAAGCGCCTCCTAGATTGCACAAACCGGTTCAAGTCTCCTTCTCCGTGCAGGACGCGGGAAGAAGACAGCCCCAGGAAACTGCTTGGTATACTCTGGCACCCAACGTGGGGCTCAGCAGGGGGCAAAGCAAGGAGGTTAGGCATTTCTTTAGGGATCGCCCCAGAGTATTGCGGCCGCCACAGAACGGAAAAGAAAATTTCTCAAACCTCGTGTGGATTCCCACAAGAAATATTAACTTCAACATGGACCCAAGAGAGGAACTGGCCAACTTAAAGAGGAGTCCACACCTGGAGACATGCCTTACAGCTGCAGATAATCAATCGCCCAGCCCACAGTTAGCAATGATCCCAAGCATCCCACTGAAGATAAGAAGTGGGAAGAGGACGAAGTGGACATCAAGGAGCCCAGAAGTGACCAGGAGCCCAGGAACACCTGAGAACATCCTTCTTTCCATGTTAGCAGTAATCTGCTGTACGTCTGCAAATGTGGATTAAAGAGTCTTAAAAGGACTCAAACCCTTCAAGAAGCTTTCACTTATCAAGATGTATTAAGGAAAAGTAACAGGGAAGAGTGCCTAGCACATAATTAATTATTGCCTTTATGGTACTAGGACCTCCCTTAAAGCTAAAAACAGACAATGGATTCATGTACACTAATTCTGTTTTCAGTATTTTTGTCAGCAATATCAAATTTATCATAAAACTAATATCACTTATTAATTCTCAAGCTATTTTGAAGTAAGCCAACCGTACTATTAAGATGCAATTATTAAAACAAAAAGGGGGAGACAGATGTTATGTCTCACCTCAAATGCAAACTCAGTCATGATTTTATACTTAAAAATTTTTTGCTTTATATTTTAAAATTTTTTGAATTGCAATGCAGAGGGTTGTACTGCAGCCAAAAGGCATCAGGCCTCCTGTACAATAGCCTCCACCAAGTTAGCCTGGTTGAAGAAGGCAAAAACCAGACAAAAATTTTATCAGATGCAATAATAATGTCGGGAAGAGGTTGTGTTTTTTATCTTTCCAGAAGGAACAGCACAGCCAATCTGGATGCCAGAGCGTTACGTGCGTCGCCATGATGGACCCAGAGAAGCTGCTTGCCCCATCGTTCAAGGGACTGAGAGTTGCCCTGATGACAGTGATGCAGAAGAAGTTAACTACTAAAGCCGACAGAAGGCAGAATTTACTACCTCAACCATGTTTCTGGCCATGCTGACATTGGTTAGCTGCCAGTCTTCTATAAGACATTGCACAATCAACTCTAAGGACTCTGAGCAAATATACACCAGCAGCAAAAGAGACTTTTCAATCAGTAGCAAGAATATTGACGTAGCTGTAGTTTGATTTCTCTATTATTGATATCAATTTGTTATTAGTTTTTAGTCAAAGCCTTGTTCTTTTTTTTTTCTTTTTTTTCTTTTTTTTTTTATTGGGATCGGATCCTGGAACCTTATTTATTTATTTATTTATTTATTTATTTATTTATTTATTGTGGCTTTTGACCTTGAAGTTTTATTTTTTTTTTAATAATTAAATCTTTATTGTTCAGATTATTACATTTGTTCCTCTTTTTCCCCCCCATAACTCCCCTCCTCCCAGTTCCCACCCCACCCTCCGCCCTCACTCCCCACCCACTGTCCTCATCCATAGGTGCATGATTTTTGTCCAGTCTCTTCACGCATTTCCCACACCCCTTCCCCCCCCCAAGCATAGTCAGTCCATTCCCTTTCTATGTCCCTGATTCTATTATAATCATCAGTTCATTCTGTTCATCAGATTATTTATTCACTTGATTCTTAGATTCACTTGTTGATAGATGCGTATTTGTTGTTCATAATTTGTATCTTTACCTTTTTCTTCTTCTTCCTCTTCTTAAAGGATACCTTTCAGCATTTCATATAATACTGGTTTGGTGGTGATGAACTCCTTTAGCTTTTCCTTATCTGTGAAGCTCTTTATCTGACCTTTAATTCTGAATGATAGCTTTGCTGGATAAAATACTCTTGGCTGTAGGTTCTTGGTATTCAGCACTTTGAATATTTCTTGCCATTCCCTTCTGGCCTGCAAAGTTTCTGTTGAGAAATCAGCTGACAGTCGTATGGGTATTCCCTTGTAGGTAACTGAGTTTCTTTCTCTTGCTGCTTTTAAGATTCTCTCTTTGTCTTTTGCTCTTGGCATTTTAATTATGATGTGTCTTGGTGTGGTCCTCTTTGGATTCCTTTTGTTTGGGGTTCTCTGTGCTTCCTGGACTTGTAAATCTATTTCTTTCACCAAGTAAGGGAAGTTTTCTGCCATTATTTCTTCAAATAGGTTTTCAATATCTTGCTCTCTCTCATCTTCTGGCACCCCTATTATTCTGATGTTGGTACGCTTGTAGCTGTCCCAGAGGCTCCTTACACTATCTTCATATTTTTGCATTCTTTTTTCATTTTGCTTTTCCGGTTGGGTGTTTTTTGCTTCCTCGCATTTCAAATCTTTGACTTGATTCTTGCGCTCCTCTGGTCTGCTGTTGGGAGTCTGTATAATATTCTTTATTTCAGTCAGTGTATGCTTACTTTCTAGTTGGTCCTTTATCACACCATCGAGGGTCTCATTAGATTTCCTATACATCTCATCAAGTTTATCGACAGCCTCTAGAAGCCTCTTGAGAGACTTCAAAAGTGTGGTTTTGAATTCTATATCCAGTAGCCTGCTTTCCTCCGGTTTTGTCCTTTGTGGCCTGTTTCTTTGTCTTGGCATTTTTTTATGCTTCGCTGTGTCGATAGAGTGGCTTTCCGTGTTATGTGTCCCAATTACCTGAGGTAGACACTCTTGGTGCACCCCCTTGTGGTCTCTGTGAGCAGTCTTGTAGTCAAGCCTTGATTGTTGTAGGTAATTACTACTTGACCTCCAGGCCAACTGGCTGTGAGAATCAGCTGTGTTTGCAGTGGGAGAACTTCTGTCCTCTAGGGAGGTGCTAATCTAGCCTTTGCCTGAGGCTATCCGGCAAATGCCTCTGTGCAGGGCTTGGGCGGGGCGGGTCCCACAGGATCAACAGGGCGGAGGAGGGAGCAGTTATGGCTGCTCTCAGTCCGTCCCCAGGGGCTCTGCCTCTCTGTCCCAGCAACCGCTGCAAACCTCGGAGGGACCAAAGCCAGACAGTCCCGCTTCTCCCGTCCGAGCCTGGGTCCCCAGAGACTCGCCCGGATCTGGAGCCCAGAGTCCGAGGCTCCCTCCAGACCGAAACAGTCAACCGCGCCCTCAGCCACCAGCCTGCGCCGCGCGCACTCCGCACCTCAGTATTTTACTTCAGCACTGCGCCTCCTCTGATTCTCGGTTCCTCCTAGTTGTAGAACTTCCACTCAGCCAGCCTTCCTGTGGTTCTGGATGATGTCCATTCCGTCTTTTAGTTGTATTTTTGAAGTGGTTGTTCGAGGCAGCAAACTCCCGCGTTAACCTATGCCGCCATCTTGGTTTCTCCTCCAAAGCCTTGTTCTTGATGTAAGGTTTTGCTTTTGATTTTAGTTGCAAAAATATATTTAAAAAGGGGGAGTGTTAAGGGCCGGTAGAATACACTTGGCTTAATTTACATCAGCTGGATTCAGTGTGAGGGCAAAAGCCCCGCCCTGGAGGCGGGACCAGTCAAAGACTGGACGCCACCCAGTTTGACTCTCCCGCCCAGTGTTAAGGGGATGGATCTCATGATGTCAAAGGCACTCCCAGATGTGATGTAACTTCCTGTAACTCAAGTATATAATAAAGCAGCTTTCGGAAAAAAAAAATGATCACAAAGATGTTACAAAAAATAGGTCCAGTTTATCTAGTTAAGAATATTTTTATATATAACCACTATGAAATTCAGGATTTTCATCAAAATGTAGATAAGAATTTATCAAATTAATTATTCTATGTTAAGTTCAATGACAGAAGTATTCTTTAATTTCTTTTTCCAAATCAAGATGAGCAGCTAACTCTGAGATCTCTAGCCCAAGCAGGAGTAGGTGAGGAGTAGCCTGCTTTCTCAGCTGCAGAATGCTTCTGAAAAGGATGCTGAAGAACTTGCTGCAGAAGATAGACCTGGTAAACAATTTAAATAGATAAATATAGATTTTCTCCATTAGGACCCTTATTAGTTTTCTAAATTTCTAACAAGGGACATTTTAAATTTGTTTGATAATGTTTAAACATTTTACATTTTATTAAAACTTCAATTATAGTTGTTACTTAAAATTTCCATTGTTCCACAGAAAGTTCCTTAAGTACTAGTTTTATATTAAAACAGGAGAGTGAATATGTACAGTGTCATGAAGACTACATATATATCCTAATTATTAAAATTCACAGCAGTTAGAGTATTATAATTTTCTGAAATATTGAAAAAAATAAAACAATGTCAATAATTTTCAATCATTACAAACCAAGGGCCTGATTCCGACTTAGACTGCTTCCTCATTTTGCCCCAAGTACTAAGGAATTTTCTGTGGAAAAATAGAAATTTCAAGTAACAAATATTACAATTTTGCCCCATGGTTATAAACTGAGGCATCAAAGAACACACTTCTTTAAACAATAATTCTAGGGGAAATATATATTTTCATCCAGTTATAAAATAATTAAATCATGGAGATGTAATGTACAGTATGGTGGCTATATTTAATACTATATTGCATATTTGAAAGCTGCTGAGAGTAAATTTTAAAAGTCTTCATCCCAAGGGAAAAAAAGATTTTTGTAACCATGTATGGTGATTGATATTAACTAGACTTATTGTGGTGATCATTTTGCAATATGTACAAATATAGAATCATTATGTTGTACACCTGAAGCTAATATAGCATTATATGTTAACTATATCTCAATTTAAACTATTTTCCCAGTGGTTTTATCACTTTCTTGCATTAAGAAAATGCATAGTTCTGATAGAAAACAGTGGATGATTATAATAAGAAAGTAAAGCCAAGAGATCAAATAGAGTATACTACTATCCTACCAATATTTTAAATAGAAAGACTGCATTGTCATCAATGATAGAGCCCTTCTTCAACTCTCCCCAGGTACTTTCTATACACATCCTTTTATTAAAGTCGGTCTTAAATCTATCTGATCTCACCTACTAGTTTGAAAGCTCCTTGAATCAATTTTTATACTTCTCCACAGCACCTCACATAGAGTGGATTCTCAAGAAATGTTTGAAGCAAGAAGGTAAACACAAGTTGTATATGTAAAGGATTTCATGTAAAAGGTTTATAAAAAATAAACTTTTTTTTTCCTTTCCTGCACGAGAATGTAAACTTTAGTTAACATTCTAGGTCTGTTCCCTGGCAACCTGATGAGGTGAGGTGGTATGTCAACTGTATCACCACACAACATTGCTTATGACTAAAAAATAGCTTCTGGCCTGGGAGAACTGTAAATCCCCGATAGAATCCCTAGGGCTTTCTTTAGTGTGGTGACTCTCAAGGCAGGTCTCCTGTGGGGACACTGGAAACTACACCAATGGTCCTGACAAGAGATATTGATTTTTTATTTTTTTATTTTTATTGAATTTATTGGGGTGACACTGGTTCACAAAATTATGTTTCAAATGTACAATTCTATAACTTATCACCTGTATATTGTATTGTGTCATTGTCACTCAAAGTCAATTCTTCTTCCATCACCTTTTATCCCCCCTTTACCTTTTTCTACCTCCCCCACCCCCCTTTCCCTCTGGTGATCACCATACTTTGTCTGCGTCTATGAGTTGTTTGTTTGTTTTTTGCTTAATCCCTTCACCCTTATCACCCAGCACCCTACTCCCTTCCCCTCTGACAGCTGTTAGTCTGTTCTCTATATCTATGAGTTTGTTTCTATTTTGTTTATTTAGTTCATTAGATTCTACATACAAGTGAAATAATATGGTACTTGTCTTCCTCTGACTGGCTTGTTTCACTTGGCATAATACTCTCCAGGTCCATCCATGCTGTTGCAAAGGGTAACATTTCCTTCGTTTTTACAGCCGAGTAATATTCCATTGTGTAAATGTACCACAGCTTTTTTTTTATCCACTCATCTACTGATAGACACTTGGGCTTCTTCAAATCTTTGCTATCATCAAACAAAGTGCTGCACGAAGATAGAGAAAAGGGAACCCTTGTGTACCATTGCTGGGAATGAAGATTGGTACAGCCACTGGAGAAAGCAGTATGGAGTTTCCTCAAAAAATTCAAAATGGAACTGTATTATGACCCACTGATTCCACTCTGGGAATATATATGAAGAAAACAGAAACACTAATTTGAAAGAATATGCACCCCTATGTTCATTGCAGCATTATTTACAACTAGAGACCCAGTGCACAAAATTCGTGCACGGGGTGGGGGGGGGGGTCCCCTCAGCCCAGCCTGCTGCACCCTCTCCAATCCAGGACCCCTCAGCCCAGCCTGCTGCACCCTCTCCAATCCAGGACCCCTCGGAGGATGTCCTGGGGATCGGGCCTAAACCGGCAGTCGGACATCCCTCTCACAATCCGGGACCACTGGCTCCTAACTGCTCACGTGCCTGCCTGCCTGATTTCCCCTAACTGCCCCCGCCGCTCGCCTAGTCACCCCTAACTGCCCCCCCCCCCCCCCGGGGGGCGCCCCTTAATGGTCCCCCATGCCCCTGGGGAGAGGTTCGCCCCCCCCCGCAGGCTGGTCAGTTGGGCATGGTAAAAGAGCCGCCTAGTCACCACCCAACTGCACCCCTGCCGGCCTGGTTGCACCCAACTGTCCCCACTGCTGGCCTGGTTGCCCCTTAATGCCCCCCATGCCAACCTGGTCATCCCCAACTTCCCCCCAGCGGGCCTGGTCACCCCACGCAGCCTGCTGTTTGGTCTTTTGGTCATCTCTTACTAATCCCCTTGCTGGCCTGGTCACCCCACAATATTAAGGCTAAATAGCCCTAGATTAAAGGCTACCATAAGTCCATACCAACAGAGCTTAAATTCAAGTCTTGAAAGTTAATCTGCAGGCAATTTAACTGTCTTCCAAGTAAAGCTGCTCTTTAAAAGAAGAACAAAAAATTTAGACACTTAGCAATTACTGGGAAGAAGCAGGAAAGTGGGAATCAAAATCAGGAAATATAAATAGACTAAAATAACAATAATGATTGAAAGCAGACAAGAATTTTAGGCAGCTATTATAAATATGTTGAGGAACTTAAAGAAAAGCATGAACATAATAAGGAGATAAATAGAAGATATAGAAAAGAGCAAAGTGTGCCCTAGCTGGTTTGGCTCAGTGGATAGTGCATTGGCCTGTGGGGAGTGGGCCTAAGCCATTAATCGGACATCCCCTGAGGGCTCCCAGACTGCAAGAGGGCGCAGGCTGGGCTGAGGGACCCCCCCCCCCCGAGCGCACAAATTTTGTGCACCAGGCCACTAGTAGCTAATATTTGAAAACAGCCCAAGTGCCCATCAGTAGATGAGTAGATAAAAAAGCTGTGGGGCATTTACACAATGAAATACTATGCAGGTGTAAAAAAGATGGATCTCTTGCCTCTTGCAAAAGCATGGATGAACCTGGAGACTATTATGCTAAGTGAAATAGGCAATCTGAGAAAAACAAATATCACATGATCTCACTTATTTGTGGAATCTAATGAATAAAACTAATTGACCAACAAAATAAAACTCGAAGCATGTAGGCATGGAACAGACTGACATACCTCCGTGTGGGGGTGGGGGAATGAAGAGAGATAAACCAAAGATCTTACATACTTATATGCATAGCTCATGGACACAAACAATAGGGTGATGAAGACCTGGGTGGTAGGCAGGGCCTGGGCAGAGGGAGATTAAAGGGGTGGCGGGGTGGAGGAATGGGAGATATCTGTAATACTGTCAACAATAAAAAATAAAATAAAAAATTTAAATATGACATAGTTAAAATTAATAAAAATATATGCAGAAAAGTCAACCACCTTACCTCTGAAAAATCATTCCTTTCTGCTTTTTGCACTGCAGACTCTGCCATCCAGTTCTTCAGCACATATCTAGGATTAATAGCTTAAACAAAAGGGGAAAGCACTTATTGGAACCATAAATTACTAGGTCAACACAGATCGTATGAAATTACAGCTGAAATTAGATAATATTCAATAACTTTGCTGGAAGGCTCTAATGAGAAAAATTACCAGCATTAGTCAATTTTGGCTGTTTATAAATAACTAGAGGCCCAGTGCATGAAATTTGTGCACAGGTACGGTCCTTAAGCCTGGCCTGCAATCAGAGCCATCTTCCCCAGCTGCTGACAGCCAGCCCTGCCCCCCGCCGCCACCAACCCCTAGTTTCCCGTTCATCATCGGGCAATTGGAGCCTGCTGGCTGGGGGAAGGAACCAAGAGGTTGGCCGTCCCACCAGCTTGCTGGCCCCATCCCCCGCCACCAGATGCCATGTGTGGGGTGACCGGCGGGGCAGGGGCCTTGGCCTAGCACCACCCATGTTTGTCGCCACCCACCCCAGGTTCCCTGTTCACCATCGGGCAATCAGAGCCTGCCGACCAGGGGGAAAAACCAGGAGGTTGGCCGTTCCCACCTGCTTGCTGGCCCCATCCCCTGCCACCGGTTGCCCTCTGTGTGTGGGGTGACTGGCGGGGCAGGGGCCTTGGCCTGGTGCTGTCCACGTCCACCGCCACCCACCCCTGGCTCCCATTCCCCATCAAACTATCAGAGCCTGCTGGCCGGGGGAAGGGACCGAGAGGTTGGCCGGCAGGCCCCGATCAGGCAATCGGGATCAGGGCCTGGGGGCTGGGGGCAGCTCCTGTGTTGAGCGTCTGCCCCCTGGTGGTCAGTGCATGTCATAGCGACCGGTCATTCTGCCTTTCGGTTGATTTGCATATTACCATTTTATTATATAGGACTAGAAGCCTGGTGCACAAAAATTTGTGCACTGGCGGGGTGGGGGGTCTCTCAGCCCAACCTGTGCCCGCTCAGTCCGGGACCCCTTGGGAGATAACCACCTGCTGGCTTAGGCCTGCTCCCCTGGTGGCAGATAGCACGCCCGATCCCGCGGTGCCTGCCCCGCCTCCCCCGGGCCACACACGGCAGGCCCGGATCCTGCGCTGGGGCGGGCGGTGGGTGGGGATCGCGCTGCCGCTCCCCCCCACCCCCCGCTGCTTTTAACATCTTCAATCACAGAATTAAGGTCTGACTCAGGAGGACTGCTTAGCGCTGATGCTGCCAAGAGCATACAGAAAAGGTTACCTGCAGGCAAAATTCTTTATACATTGATTTTTTTAAATAATAACCATGCATTTTAAAATATTAAAATGCATTGTAACAATGGTACATGTAGAAAAATTCCAGAAACTGTCTTTATTTGAGATGAGACCTTTCCAAAATAATTTATCAACTGGGTGATATAAGGGAAGTTCTAGAGGCCTGCAGAAATTACCATTCTAGTAGAGTAGAATAAAAGAGAAATTTTCTATGGAGTTAATTTATCCATATAAAAACATATATGTATTTTTTAAATATATTTTTATTGATTACAGAGAGGAAGGGAGAGGGAGAGATAGAAACATCAATGATGAGAGAGAATCATTGATCAGCTGCCTCCTGCATGCCCCCTACTGTGGATCGAGCCTGCAATGAGGCATGTGCCCTTGACCAGAATCAAACTTGGGACCCTTCAGTCCGCAGGCAGGCATTCTATCCACTGAGCCAAACCAGCTAGGGCTATATAAATTTTTTTAAAGTAAATAGTAATTATCTTTGGGAATACAGGGATCTTTTTTATTCTTTTTACAAGTCTGCATTTTTCAAATTTTAAAGAGTTCATAGACAACTACTTTAAAATAAAAACCCCTGTACACAAAATATAGATAGGCCATCTTTAAACAAAAAGAAAACTACATGCAATAAAAATTGTGGAAGCACTCAGCCTAGGCAGAGAGAGAGTGGAGTCACCCAGTTAAAAGTTTGACATATTTGTCATTTGTTAGAAACCCGCCAACAAAATACTGTTAAAATACATTGGGAATTGCAGCTATAAATAGAACTTGCCTAGGAGCAATTCTCCTAGGAAAGGGACCCAGAGGCAGAGGTTCCACCATTCCCCACATCTTCATCCTCCTCTTCTCCACAGGAAGTTGAGGAAGCTAGCAGGGGAGGCATTTGGGTCAGGAGCCAGCATGGGGCAGGGGGCCTGGGGAAGTTGGCATCGAGCAGTGACCTTGGTTGAGTCTCAGTATATGAAGAGTGCCTTCCCTCCCCACCCATGGTCCCAATGTCCTGGCCTGGCTTTCCCCCCTAAGAATGTGTCCATTCCATGACCTTCCCTTTTCCTCCTCTCTCACCTCTACAGCATTCTCACTCATCCCAGCCTCCAGGCAACCTGCACTAAAGTAAAAAGCAAGTTGAGAGCCCCCTTTCCCCATATCCACCAGTCCCAGCTCCTCTCTCTCTTCCCCCAACAGTCCTCAAATAAAGCCCATGTCATGGGGGAGGGGAGGATAAAACATGCAGAATCCCAAAGTACAAAGATAGTGTAAGGAGCCTCTGGGACAGCTTTAAGCATACCATTATTTGCATTATGGGGTGCCAAGAGGAGAAGAGAGAGAGCAAGATATTGAAAATCTATTTGAATAAATAATGACAGAAAACTTCCCCTATGTGGTGAAAGAAATAGACTTACAAGTCTAGGAAACACAGGGAGTCCCAAACAAGAGGAACCCAAGGAGGCCCACACCAAGACACATCATAATTAAAATGCCAAAGTTAAACAAAGAGAGAATCTTAAAAGCAGCAAGAGAAAAGCAGTGAAGAAGAAAAAGATAAAAAATATGAACAATATAATGACAATAAATGCGTATCTATCAAAAACTGAATCTAAAAATCAAACAATCAAATAAGGAATCTAAGGAACAAAATAAACTAATGAATAAAACAGAACCAGAGGCATGGAAACATGAACAGACTGAAGAATTTCAGAGGCAAGAGGGGGAGGGGGTTGGAAAGAGATTAACCAAAGAATTTATATGCATAAATGCATTACCTAGGGACACAGACAATAGGGTGGTGAAGGCCTGGGGCAGGGTGGGAACCTGGTAGAGGGGGGCAATGGGGAGACAAAAGGGGGATATCTGTAATACTCTCAACAATAAAGATTTTTTTTAAGTGGCAAGATGTGATTTATCTGCCAGATTCCAAAACTCATGTCTTTCCACCATAACTCAAGCCATTTTCCTATCTCTCCACCATCTTTTAAGACTATATTACTTTAAGACCAGTATGCACACTTACTAAAAACAGAGCTTTCATCCTCTGAGTTAAAAATTACACACTAGAGCCCTAACCAGTTTGGCTCAGTGAACAGAGCGTCGGGCCATGGACTGAAAAGTCCCAGGTTCGATTCCCAGTCAGGGCACATGCCTGAGTTGCAGGCTCGATCCCCATTAGGGGGTGTGCAGGAGGCAGCTGATCAATGTTTCTCTCTCATCGATGTTTCTAACTCTCTATCCCTCTCCCTTCCTCTGTAAAAAATCAATAAAATATTTTTTTTTCAAAATCACCCACTAGAATTAGAAAGTTCATATATGATACTTCAACTCAACTAAAATTTACTCATCTAGAATTCTTCTAGTTTTAAAAAAAACAAACTCAGTTCCCTCACGTAATTACTTCGGGTTTTTAAAATGTTGCTTTTATGTGATTATTTAAAGTTTTTAAAACATCAAAATGATTACTTACTCATCATTCTTTTTCTTCTTTCAATATCCGAATCATTCATGTTACTAAAAATAAATAAAACAAAAGACAAAATTATCTACCATCTTCCCAAACTATATCTTTTTTCCCAAAAGGGTAGGAATTATTTCATAAGACAAATATTGAAAAAAAGGTTTTAAGGAAGATGGCGGCATAGGTAAACACCGGAGACTGCCACCGTAAACAACCACTTCAAAAATACAACTAAAAGTCGGAACGGACATCAACCAGAACCACAGGAAGGCTGGCTGAGGAGAGACTCTTCAACTAGAAGCAAAAACAACAGCATTCCGACGCACAGAGGAGGCGCAGTGTGGAAAATTTAAAGGTACGGTGGTGCGGTGGTGAGGTGGTGCGCGCGCAAAGCGGGCTGGTGGCTGAGGGCGCGGTTGTCGTTTTCACTCAGGAGTGAGTCTCAGACTCTGGGCTACAGATCCGGGCGAGTCTCTAGGGACCCAGACTCAAACGGGAGAAGCGGGACTGTCTGGCTACGGCCCCTCCGAGGTTTGCAGCGATTGCTGGGACAGAGAGGCAGAGCCCCTGGGGACGGACTGAGAGCAGTCATAGCTGCTCCCTCCCCCCGCCCTGTTGAGCCCGCCCCGCCCAAACCCTGCGCACAGCCATTTGCTGATCGCCTCAGGCAAGGGCTGGACTAGCGCCTCCCCAGAAGACAGACGCTTTCCAAACAGCTGATTCCTACAGCCAGTCGGCCTGGTGGTCAAACCCCTCTAGTGTTAACTACAACAATTAAGGCTTGGCTAGAACAAGACTGCGCACAGAGACCACAAGGGGGTGCACCAAGAAAGCATAAAAGATGCGGAGACAAAAAAACATGACAGAAATGGAGGATATGGAGCTAAGAATCGCAATTTTGAGGGCTTGCCATAAATTTGTGCAGAGCCTCACGAAAACTAATGAGACCCTCGATGCTACGATAAAGAAATTAGAAAGTAAGCATACACGGACTGAAATAAAGAATATTATACCCAATAGCAGACCAGAGGAGCACAAGAATCAAACCAAAGATTCGACAAAAAACACCCAATTGGAAAAGCAAAATGAAAAAAGAATCCGAAAGTGTGAAGATAGTGTAAGGAGCCTCTGGGACAGCTTTAAGCGGACTAATATCAGAATTATTGGAGTGCCAGAAGATGAGAGACAGCAAGATATTGAAAACCTATTTCAAGAAATAATGGCAGAAAACTTCCCCCATCTGGAGAAAGAAATGGACTTACAGGTCCAAGAAGCGCAGAGAACCCCAAACAAAAGGAATCCAAAGAGGACCACACCAAGACACATCATCATTAAAATGCCAAGAGCAAAAGACAAAGAGAGAATCTTAAAAGCAGCAAGAGAAAGAGGCTCAATTACCTACAAGGGAATACCCATACGACTGTCAGCTGATTTCTCAACAGAAACTTTGCAGGCCAGAAGGGAATGGCAAGAAATATTCAAAGTGCTGAATACCAAGAACCTACAACCAAGAGTATTTTATCCAGCAAAGCTATCATTCAGAATTAAAGGTCAGATAAAGAGCTTCACAGATAAGGAAAAGCTAAAGGAGTTCATCACCACCAAACCAGTATTATATGAAATGCTGAAAGGTATCCTTTAAGAAGAGGAAGAAGAAGAAAAAGGTAAAGATACAAATTATGAACAACAAACATGCATCTATCAACAAATGAATCTAAGAATCAAGTGAATAAATAACCTGATGTACAGAATGAACTGGTGATTATAATAGAATCAGGGACATAGAAAGGGAATGGACTGACTATTCTTGGGGGGAAAAGGGGTGTGGGAGATGGGGGAAGTGACTGGACAAAAATCATGCACCTATGGATGAACACAGTGGGTGGGGAGTGAGGGTGGAGGGTGGGGTGGGAGCTGGAAGGAGGGGAGTTATGGGGGGAA